CTACTTAATGCAAACCAGCAGGAAGTTGCATCACACACACACACACACACACACACACACACACACACACACACACACACACAGATTCAAGCCCAAATTGATGAGGCAGATTTATGACGGCTGCTGGCCACAACAAATTAAGTTGACAGTGATGTATGTGGGGGGTCGAGTGTCACGCTGCACCAACAGACCACACACACACCCCCAGTGGAGACCCCCCTACTCCCAGTCCTTCTTGTTAGGCTTCCTTGTCAGGCTGCCCCCCTCCAGCATACCTGCATAATGAAATTCCTCGTACTGATTTGTGTTTTTTTTCTTCCCGTTTTCCTCTCTCCATCCCCAGACTCATCCCGCCGCCAGCAAGCTGCCCCTGAAGGACAGCTTCACGTTTGATGACTACAGGTCAGTGTGTGTGTGTGTCTCTTTGTGTGTGTTTATAGAAACTGGAGCAAGAAGAAAATATTCAGCTCCTCACAATTACTTCTTACTGTACCAGGTTAACTTTGAGTTTTACTTCCATGTTTCAGCTTTAAAACAGGAAGCAGCAGATTTATTCACATGTCAGATTCAGTTTTTGTACAAACAGAAATATTAGTGTGTCCGATGTTTGTGTTCCTGCTTCTGTTAAAGTGTTAACAAGCGGTTGTTTGTTGGTTGGTTTTCTGTAACAGGTGGGCAGTGTCCTCTGTGATGACCCGCCAGAACCAGATCCCCACTGAGGACGGCAGCCGGGTCACTCTGGCCCTCATCCCCCTGTGGGACATGTGTAACCACACAAACGGACTGGTGAGGCTGAGAACTCTCACATCCCGTACAGGCAGACACGTCGACCATTTAATCTGTGAAGGAAATTTGATTCAAAAAAAATAAAAGGAGGCTTTATCCAGACTTATAAATTAATTTTAAATAATGTGGGGAGAAAAAGTGAGTGTTTGGTTGAATCTGCAGATCACCACAGGATACAACCTGGAGGACGATCGCTGTGAGTGTGTGGCGCTGCAGGATTACAAAGAAAACGAACAGGTGAGACACTTCCAGGACTTCTCTCTCTAAATTATTCATTTCCATTTTATTTATTGAAAATTCTTCATGGGACTTGTTTTAAAAACATCCTACTTTTATTTATTTATATATATATATATTTTTTTTTGCAGCCACATTTGTTTGCTGCTTGTTTATCATGCCTAAAGAATTATATTTGACAGTGTGAATATTTTCCGCCTGTGTCCCAGGTCCTCTGTARAGTCAGGACCGGATCATGCAGGCCATGGGAAACGTGACTCTGGCCCTGCACCTGCTGTGCGAACGGGCCAACCCAGCTTCATTCTGGCTGCCGTACATCCACAGTCTTCCTCAGGAGTACGACACGCCGCTGTACTACCAGCAGGACGACGTTCAGCTGCTGCTGGGCACCCAGGCAGTGCAGGACGTCCTGAGCCAGTACAAGAACACGGCCCGCCAGTACGCGTACTTCTACAAACTGGTGCAGGTATGCAGACTCAGTACACACTAACTGAATATAAAGGAATTTAGTTTTGAACCTGTAATACTAGTTGCCAACCAGCAGGGGGCGACGTCAGATAATTACAACCTCAGGTTAACTTCACCATCGGTTTATCTTTTGTTGGCTGATGTTTTTAGGAAATTACATAAATGTAAACTACAGAAAAGCTMTTCAAAATCAGCCTCTTCCTTACAAATSTCTTTGGTCAAAATGGTTCAGGTTAAATCCTTTGTATAATGCTTCGTTGGTGAAAAATACTGTATTTTGTAAGGACATGTACACAGTGTATCATGTTAGGAGGATAATGTGTGTGGTGGTGTTTAGGAAAAAATATTTCAGTCAGAAGATGTTTTTTTCATTAACCCATGAGCGTTGCTTTGACTCATTCATGCATGTTTGAGATATCTTTGAATCTCCTGCAGTAGCCATGTGGAGCTYCCTGAACACATTCTGGTACAAAGCTCCGCCTATTTGTACTTAGCTCCTCCRGGGAGCTCAGTGTGCAGCCGAGCTCCAACTCCACAGAGCACCCCTCCCCCGAAGCATTGTTGTGAAGTTGCGAAGAAGTGGGAGTGTCAGAAGTGGTAGGAGGTTCTTAAAGAGACAGAGGCCAATTTCAAGGCGTTTATGTAGACTATGATGCAAAATCAAATTTATTTTTGATTTACACAGCATTTTCTTTACAACTGAAGGTAACATGGTTACTTGATTGTGATATAGAATTTAATTATTTGACTGGTTAAGTTTGCCTCAGTATTGCTATTAAAAAAAATCATTATTCAGCCAATCAAACAAATTTATTTCAAACATGATAGCAGTATAAAATAACAGCCATACTTGAACATATTGAATGCAAGATACACATGTTTTGTAGCAATAGTAATCTTAACATGTTCGTAAAGGAGTAGGAAGAAGTAAATAAAACTTAAGAACTCCTACCCCATACTATGTCTTCAGATAACATATATTGTAATAAACCTGAGTATGACTTAGTGCAGTGTTTCCCAAAGTTGGGGTCGGGACCCAAAGTGGGGTCCCGAAACATCAAG